ACAGAAACCCTGACAGAAAGCACTTGGCAGCTCACGGCAGCCCTGGTCTGTGGTCCCAGCTCCTGGGAGGCTGAGGCGGGAGGAGTGTAAGCTCGAGGCCAGCCTGGGCAGCTTCATGGGCCCCCGCCTCAAAATACAAAATAAAGAAGGGCCGGGAAGTGGCTCCATGGGAGGGCGCCCCTGGGTTCAGTTCTCAGTGTGAGAAAGAGAAGAGACTTTCTGCAGGGACAGGTGGCCAACAAGGTTTGGGCTCAGAGGTCTTTCAAAATACCCGCCTTTATCAGCTCCTTCTGCTCCACAGCTCCCTCTTCCTCCGCCTCCCTGAAGACTGCGCGTTCACTAAAGCAGGTCCCGTTGCAAGGCAGCTCCCAATTAAATGTCTTCGTCTTTGGAGAATCCCTCTGTTATTTAGGTGGACAGGGATTCGATCTGGGGTTCAAAGTGAGACCTATTCCAAGGGCGTCCACCCTTCAAGTGGGGTCGGCCTGGAGAGGCCTGGGAGTTGACAAATGGCCTCTTTCAACCCCAAGGTGGGCTTTGCCCCTCCCCGACTGCTGCCCGCTATTCCCGTGGAGGTAAGGAAAGGCTCCAGGCAGGGTGGGCTGCTTCAGTGGAGGCTCAGAGGTCCACCTTTGGGACAGCACCCAGGCATCTTTCCCTCCCTCTCACCTGGGTCCCTTCCTGTGGGGCCTGTCGAGAGGAGGAGGTGATGTCCCCCAACATGAGGCTGTCCCAGGAGAAGATGCCTGATTTGCCTCTGAGAAGATCCAGGTTGGGCTTTGGGGACCCGGGGATCAGAGTGAAGGTGGAGGGGGTTGTAACTAGTTGAACTATGACACCCCCAAACTCACATGTTGAGGTCTTAGCCCCCCCAAACCTCAGAATGTGACTCTATTTGGAGACAGGGTCTTCAGGCAGGTGATTCAGTTAAAATGAGGTCACTAGGGTGGGCCTTGTCCAGTACGACTGGTGTCTTTGTAAAACAAGGTGAGGTCACAGACCTCAGGACCATGGGAGGACCCAGGGAGAAAATCCACCTACAGGCCAAGGAGAGAGGCCGCAGAAGAGGCAGCCCTGCCCACACCCTGGGCTCGGACTGCCAACCCCAGACGTGAGCAAACAGAGGGCCACGTCTCAGCCCTCCACCTGCGGTACAGCCACCCTTGGTATCCAGGGGAGGTGGGTTCCAGGGCCACCCTAACACAACCTGAATGATGTTGTAGGTGTCCTACTCTATTGTTTAGGGAATGATGACAGGGACAAGAAATCAGTACATACTCAGGATAGACACAAAGATTTTCTAGTACTTTCTTTCAGCAATCGGTTGAATCCATGGATGCGGAACCTGTACCCAAGGGAGGGTGGAATAGACTAGGTTGCAGCAGCTTGAGCAGACTAATCCAGTGGCCGTCACAACAGAAACAGGCACAGGCAGGGACACCAAAGGTCACCTTCTCCAGGAGACTCCTCCTGACTTCCCTCCACCAGAAATAAATGACCACACCCTCTCCAGGGTCTCTTCATGCAGGTTGGCCCCTGCACTCCCTGCATTCCGAGATCCCTCAGTGCTTTTCTATTCTTAAGAATCTTTATCTACAGCTGGACACTTCGGTGCATACCTGTAATCTCAGTTGCTGGGGAGGCTGAGGTAGAAGGATCGCAAGTTTGAGGCCAGCCTCAGTAACTTAGTGAGACCTTGTCTCAGGAAAAAATAAATAAAAAGGGCTGGGAATGTAAGTCACTGGTAGAGCACTCCTGGGTTCAATTCCCAGCATAGAAGAAGAAGGAGGAGGAGGAGGAGGAGGAGGGGGAGGAGGAGAAGAAGAATTTGTGTTTACCAAACCCTTGTGGGGTTTTCCCTGTGTGTCCCCACATGCAGCACAGTGTCTGGCATGAGGTGCATGGCGGCTGGGTGGATAAGCCTCCGGTCTCTGCGTGGCCCAAACAGGCGGACCGGATAACATCCGGAGCGGTCCTTCCACTGGCTCAACCCGAGCCCCCTACGTTGCCCAGCACCCCCAGCATGGGCCCAGGTCTGGGCCTGGAGCTCAAGTCCCAACAGGGATTACAAACACAGTGACAACTTTTTGACAGAAGAGGAAGGGGAGACGGGGAAGTGGGCAGAAGCCTAGTGGGGGCGGGTGGGCAGTGGTCACCAGGGAAGATGAGGGGTGGGACAGAGATCAGTCCAGGTTTGCAAGATTCAAAAAATCAAAAAAGCAAGACATCTAGTCAAATCTGAATTTCAGGTAAACCCCTGCTCCCCCCCCAAAAAAAAAAAGTTTTAGTTGGTTGATTTTTTTTCCCAAAAAAAAAAAAAGGTTATTCTTTTTTCTGATGGGAAAGTTAATTTATCAGGTGTCTGTCTTGTCTGGCGGGACCAGCCCTCCTTGCCTGCACCCGCCGCCCCCCGAACCCCAGGACAGCTGCTCACCATGCACTTTCACTTCTGCTTGCTCAGTGACCCAGGGCCCGGCGGGAGTGCCCCCACTTCCCCACCCACAGCCAGACCCCAGGCCAGACGGCCTTGCCCTCCCCCACCCAGAGGTAGCCGGGAGACCCCGCAGACTCCAGTCAGTCAGAACCCCGCCCCAGGTGGAGAGGAGGGGCCAGGTGGGCGGGGGCCGAGAGACGAGTCTGAGCAGCTCTAGTGATGGGCTGCAGGCTCTGGGCTCAGCTTCCGCCAGAGCTTCCCCTTCTGCCCTCCCTGATCAGCACAGCACGAGGGGAGAAGGAGCCTCTAGCAGGACCCAGCCTCCGGAGGCCGAGATGCTACTCCTGCTGCCACTGCTGTCCTTGTTGTTGGGTGGTGAGTGGCAGGGGACCGCAGGGACCCGGCCAGGGCCAGGACTGGGGTTGCAGGTTGAGCCTCTGTCTCCCCTCAGGGTCCCAGGCTCAGCTAGAGAAGTACTGGCTGCAGGTGCAGGAGTCGGCGTCGGTGCAGGAGGGCCTGTGCGTGCTGGTGTCCTGCTCCTTCTCCTACCCCAGGGACGACCCCAGAACTGCTTCTAACCCGGCTTATGGATACTGGTTCGAAGAAGGGACCAACACTGACAAGGGGGATCCAGTGGCCACGAACAACCCACATCGAAGGGTGCAATCTAGGACCCAAGGCAGATTCCAGCTCATGGGGGACCCCAACAGAGATGACTGCTCCCTGATGATCAAAGACGCACAGTGGTGGGACAGGGCGACCTACTTCTTCCGCGTGGAGAGAGGACCCATAGTGAAATTTAATTTCCAGAAAAAGTTCTCTCTGGAAGTGACAGGTAGGAGATGTGGTGGGGACCCTTGCCTTTCATGCTAGGGATGAACTGCGGGCGACGGCCCCAGGACCTGAGCTGGGTGGGTTCTCAGGGACACACTCCAGACAACTAGGATTGGCCTCCTCTCTCCAGACCTAACTCAGAAGCCAGATGTCTTCATTCCCGAGACCCTGGAGCCCGGGAAGCCTGTGAGCATTCTCTGTGTGTTTAACCAAGCCTTTGAGCAATGCCCGGCCCCTTCTTTCTCCTGGACCACGGCTGCCATCCCCTCCCAAAGAACAAGGCCACCATCCTCCCAGTCCTCAGTGCTCAGCCTCACCCCACAGCCCCAGGACCATGGCACTAGGCTTACCTGTCGAGTGGACTTCAGCAGACAAGGCGTCAGCACACACAGGACCGTCCAACTGAGTGTGGCCTGTGAGTGTGAATTTGCACGCTTTGGGGTCAGGTGGAGAAGCCTGCAGCTCCATGGTCTAAAGAGTCCACAGAGAGCAAGGTGCAGTGTCCCAGGTGTTGCCTGGGAGGGGCTGGGGCCTTTGGTGGCCCTTGGTCACTTGTCCTTGTGGGAATGGTCACACTCTCTCTTCCAAGGGAGTCCTTTCTTGTTGTGAGGAGCAACCCCCCCGCTGAAGTCAGCTCCCACTCTTGTTGCAGATGCCCCTCGAGAGCCTGTCATCCAAGTTCTCCACAACAATGCATCCGGTACTGAGGACCCGCCGGGCTGGCTGGGTCAGTCCTCTCTGGGAAGGGACGAGGCTTGGCGGGAGGGGAGGTCTTTCTGCAGCTCTTCTCTGTCTGTCCCTCTCCAGCCCCAGTGACCCAGGGAAACTTCTCACATCTGGAAGTCCAGAAAGGCCAGTTCCTGCGGCTCCTCTGTGCTGCTGACAGCCTTCCCCCAGCCACTCTGAGCTGGGTCCTGGAGGACAGAGTCCTCTCCTGGTCCTCCCCCTTGGGCCCCAGAACCCTGGAGCTGGAGCTGCCCGTGGTGAAGCCTGGAGATTCGGGGCTCTACACCTGCCGAGCACAGAACAGGCTGGGCTCCCAGCAGGGCTCCCTGGACCTCTCTGTGCAGTGTGAGTGTGTCCAGAAGGTCCTGGGTCTGGGAGGGGAGCAGAGGAGGGGCAG